ACTCCGGGTCTCGCGCTGCCAAGCCTGCGGGCTCAGGTGCGTGCGGCTGTGCCGGGGACGGCCCCCGTTAGCCGTTGCTAATTGTCTCCTGCGCAGAGAAAAGAATTGAGGGGGGAAAAAAAAACCCCCTCAAAACTCCAGAGCTCCAAGTGTTGTAAAGTCTGGAGGTGACAAAAATGAAGTGAATCCCACCCATCCTGCTGGATTTTCCCTCCTCCTCCTAGTGCTTTCATTTTGTTTAATATAAATATTTCAGTGCAATGCATTAATATAAATTAATATAAATTTTCAGTGCACTGTAGAAGACCATATGTCTCAAAGCCATGTAGATTTTTGTCTCTTATGCTGCAAATTGTCTAGATGAAAACTTCATTTTTCTTTGAATATGTCGGTTCGCACAGCTTAAGTAAAAATAGGAAGCAATTAAAAAGCACCGGGCATGTGAAAAACCACAGTTCTGTTGAAAAAACATACAGTTCTATAATGCAGTTGTTACGTACAGTTGTATATATACAGTAGTGTAAAAATTATACACCATCACCTAAACTACCCCTAATAAAATGATGAAGGGGAAAATATTTTCCTCTTTAGCTGGTTTGTTTAGTCTGGTATCTCTTTTTCTTTTCTTCTTTTAATCCTCAACTCAGAAACAAACGAGAGAAAAAATAGCAACTTTTTTCTGTAAGTATTTCAAGGCATATTACTTAAAATGTATTATATTTTAAATGGGTCAGTTAAATTAACCAGCTCTATCCCTTTAGATATAATTAGTAAAATATGAAGAAACATATATTCTGAGGAATATTTTAGGTTTATTATGTCATTGCTTTGATTCTGAAGTTAGACCCGCTTGAAAGAAAACTCTTCAGGTAAAGGCATGGGTTCATTTTCATGGTCAGGATTATGGATTAGCAATGAATCCAGTAAGCATTACAAATTTACACCTAAAGATTATTCAACAAATATTTAAAATATGTTTTTATTTAAAGGGTCATTCACAAGATATTATTAGTCATTTAATGCTTCTGTTTCAATGCTTGTTAAATTCTTAGCAGGCTTCATCACCAGTTTTGTCTTTAGAAATAGGCAAAGAAATGGGAATATTTTACGCAGAGCTTGCAGGCAAGTTACTTTTTATTTTATCTGATTCTCTGGTGTTTCTAATTAGTGTGTGTGTGAAATTTTTGGATTGCATCTAAAGAATTAATACACATTTTATTTCTAAAGTGACATTTCAAATTATTGCTAATACAATATGAAAATAGCAGCTACAGAAGACGTGTGTATGTATATATATTTATATATGTCTGCGAAGATGTAAATAGATGTAAATATAGATGGGAAGTGTAAAATATGGAATCACCTCTGAAGGACAGCGTTCCCAGTTAAATCCTCTGTGCCTGGGGTAACTGGGGCAAAAATCCTTAGACTACCATAAAATTAGGTTAGCTAAGTGTTCCCCTAATGGAGCAATTTTACGGTAAGGGCCATAAGTAGTGATGTTTATGAACCCGGCGGTGTGTTGCACCCCACGGCCCCGGCACCCCGGGGCTCCCCGCGGGGGGTCCCCCAGCCGCGCTGCTGCGCGGTGCCGCCGTGGCGAGTGCCAGCGGGAAAGAGCTGGTGACACGAATGGTAATTGTGGCTGGTGCTAGAAACGCCCAAAAAAAAAACCTCAACGAGCCCGAATACACAATTTAGTTTATTTTTTTCACTGTAACGCGGTAAAAAGACTTGCTGTGCAATGAGTTAGTATTGATTTTTTTTTTTGTCTGTAGCCTCTTAGCTTTCTGACTCCATTATTTTTGATTTTACTATGAAATACATATCCTTTCTACTGACATCTGACAAACAACATATGGAAGTCGTTTCATCTACCAATAATGTGTTTGTCAAAAAAATCATGCGCTAATGGGTTATGCTTCCTCCAGTCCATTTTCCCCAAGTTAATGTCACTGATGTAATTCTAAACATTTAGTGATTTTTGCCCCCTTAATAATTTGTCATTCCCATAGGTTTGTATAAGGTTCATGTAAGATACTATAACAGGCTGGGAACTGGCTGTAGGTTTTGTGAAATAAGAGTTGAGCAGCTGGTTTTAAATCTACCTTCGCCTGCCTTTCTCTGGGACCTAGCTTTAACACTGTGACTACCAGGTACACTTGCCATTCCTTTATTTACCTGCAGACCAGATGTACCCAAGAGCTCGATGAATTGTGATTCCCTCTCCCTAGCAGGGCATTAGTATATTTGGTTTTATACTTCCTACGGGATCCTTAGGAATCTTTTTGAAAAAAGAAGACGTTAGCAGCAAGGCAACAGAACTTTTAAACGCAAGCTTAATTGTAAGCGAGTGATTTTTTCCTTCTAAATTCCAAAGAATCAGGCTTAAAGATGTACTCGTGCACTTTGCTGTAGTGCGGCTGTTGTCCCAAGCCTTGCCAAAGCTGAAGCTTTGCCCAGGCTTCCAGGCAAACCTTCCAGGGGCGCACGGCGGCCGCGAGGGAACCGGCGCGTCTCCGCCCGTGTCCCTCCCGGCTATCAGCCCCTCTCCAGCCGCGGATTCCCTGCACCTCTGCGATCCAGACAGCCCTCCTTCCCCCGGGAGGTCCTAGCGTGCTGCTCCCCGGTGCCTCCCGCAGCCTGCAAACCTCATGCTTGCCTTCGGTGGAGTTATGAAAGCCCCAGGTACGAGTTCGCTGCCTGAAGCAGTCGGGGGCTGTAAGCGGTTTTCCAGACTCGGCAGTCGGTCTATTTGACTTTCTGCACATTCAACATATGCAGAAATAGTTAGCATGTCCCCGATTTTTCTGTTCATCATATCCATAGAGACTAAACAATATTCCCGAACAATTTTTAAGCAACAGGGCAGGTTCTTGTTTGCTGCTTGAAAGTTACATCTCTTCCTATCTTTTGTCTGCCTTACCTGTTTTATAGGTGCTGCTGACAGCAAAAACTGTCCCCTCCTCTCTGATACTGCGCCTCGACCATCTCAGGCTGGCCCCAGTGTACTGTGTGTAAAGCAAATGGTTTTCATAAGTAAACAAGATGGAGACAAATTGGTTAAAATTGTAAACGAAAGCATGCAGTTAGCAGAATGAATTCAAGATTTGCTTGTCAGTGCAGTTAGACGTAGAAGTCGGTAAGGAAGATTAACTGAGCTGTGAATCTGAAGAAGCAGAAAATGAAACAGACAGTAAAGCAAATACTCTTGTGTCAGATGTACCGTAATGACAAGCCATCTACCCAGGACTGAAAATAAAATGGTTTTGCCCTACAACCTGTTGACAAAAAATGAAGTTGTTCATTTAGTGTGGGCATCTCCATTCCAGAAATATTTCTGAGCCGCTATTAGTTTATTTGCTCATCTGAAGCTCCACTTACTTGTCATTAGTAGATGCAAATGAGTTTTCAGTGGTTAGTCATTGCAGAAGGATGTAAGCTACATTTAGTTTTTGCGTGTGCAAAAGAGAAAGTATTTTGCAGTGTATGTGTATACCTACGTGAATTTGGATTTAGAATTTTATATACAGAGAAAGAATTTGGTACATCTGAATTTCTGAATAATTCTGCAAGCTCTTTTGGTCTGCAAGCACTTTTCCTGATTTTGAATATACTTTGGTTTCTTTAGAGCAAGAAATTTAACCTTTTATACATATATATGTATATACTACAAATACATAGTTACAATTGCACCTTTATGGAAATTTGTATTTTATGGAGTGTTTAAAGTGTTCTTGTGTATCCATGAAATTTCCAGTCAAACTTCACGGTTATCCTAAGTTGCTTTTTCCTCATCTTTTTGGCAATTTCCTTTTTACTTTGTCGCTCGAGACCGTGATTCTGTGACTCATGAGCTCACCTCCTCGGTACCAGATCCCTCAGCCGCACAGCACGGCCCTGCAGAGGCTTGGGCAGACACAGCTGCGCTTTCTTTCAAGCCATCTAGAACAGGAGTTTGTACTGATAGCGTTAGCAGATAGCTGGCCTCTGAACTCTGGCTGGTGCAGATATACCTGCTCTGACATCAAGCCGACCAGTACAAAAGCTTTTAAAAAGAAATTTGAATTAGAAGAGAGCTTGTACCGGATCAGCCTGTGCAGCATGTTGCTGCCGCATCTTAAAGCTGAGTTTCAGAGACAAACGTCCTGTTTGTTGGACTGCGGCACAAGTATGAGCTTCCACCTGCAAGTGAGCTGATCTGACCACTCCGCTTCTGGCGAAAGGAGTAACGCCAGACTGCACAAGAGCCACGGGGGAGAGAGAAGTCGGACCATCCCTCTGGCAACTTAGATCAACGTAGCTGTAATACGAAACTGCACTGTCATCCATCAGTAGTTTGATTTTTAAAGAGAAGTATGTCTTGCATTATGAATGCTCGTAGTTTCCTACCAGTCTAATCTATCCGGAAGACCGTCTGGTGAGCAGTGAAAGAACTACCTGACAGCACCCCAGTTACGTGTCTAGGTAGCTCCTACCACGGCTGGCAGGGGCTGCCCGCCTTCACCGTGTCACTGGGAGCTCCATTCGCTTCGTCAAAATAAAATCTCAACCTGGGATTCAAAAATATCTTGTGAAACATGTGGGCTCTGTACGACCTCACAGTACAATAAACAAGCAATTTTGCTCATTTGATTAAACAGCTGCAATTTTGTCACCTGCAGATCGTATGAGCACACAATATTTATGTTAGGAATATTTTATTACCAGATCCTAAGATTTTTTTGGTCAAGTTCACCTAACGATGTAACTCTTAATGCCAAACTAATCACATAGCTTGTCACGAAGAGAACACAGATGATGGCATATCTCTCTGGACATCTGCAGCTGAAGCGAAATTCACCTCCATATCAGCATAAGTAGTTTTACTGCCACATACAGATGGTACTCCACTGAGTTGTCTGCACTGTCCCCGAATCTTTAACTTCTCCAGGAAATCCTCATACCATAAATCTAGCAGTTACCCTGCGAGAACATCTCTAGCAAATTCTTAAGTTAGCATCTTGAATGATATCAGACGTTGAACAATAATGGCCAACTCACTGTTGTTATTTTTAATAAAGGAGAGAGTTTTTCTTTGTAACAGAGTATGTTGGGCTGCATTACAAGTTTTTTTTTTTTTCTGGTATGTACTGTTGTAAAATATATTCAAGGCATTGCTTAGACACGGCATTTATCATAGGCTTACACTAATGTATACTGACATTACACCTTCTCTTTGTAGACCAAGCCACCCTAGTAGAGCAAGTAAAACGAGTAAAAGAAATTGAAGCTATTGAAAGTGACTCCTTTGTTCCACAGACATTCAGATCAAGTAAAGAAGTCAAAAAGGTGAGTTTTCAATATGCTTTCTTGGTGCATAATCCTTTCAAAGTCAGGTGGAAGCTGCGCTATTAATACAGTTTCCATCCATGAAAGAGCATCAGTGTTGACAATCCTAAATCCCACCAATGACTCTCCTCTCACTGGTGTGGAGTTCAAGGAAGAATACATTTAAATGTTTAAGAATTTCAATGAAATCAACTGTTTTGACAGTATATTCTACCTATGCTGAGCAACTCCGATTTTTAAAAATTCTTTTAAAATCATATAAAACCATGAAGGTTTTTTTTTTTAGGAAAAGCAGAAGAATTAAAATCCAAAAGTAATCAGACATTTACGTTGTATTTGAATGTAGAGATCAGTATTTTTAATTCTGCTTAACTGAAGCCAGACTTTAAGACCATATTTACTCCCTGAAACAAAATGGCATTATTTTCAGACAGCTTTCCAAAAACCTAACGTGAGACATCCAGGTTTCAGAATTTTACCTGCATTTTGGCTGCCAAGTCTTCTAGGGAACTCGGATGCTTTTGTCTTTGGAAGGCAAGCAAAGGCTGGTTCAGTGTTTCCATCTAACAGGGAGGTGTTTTGAGTTATCACTGTTTGTGTCCCCCAGACCATGCATTTTCTTGCCTTTTCAGAAGTCTCCGAGAAGTTCATGCGGCTTCTTCAGAAAGCGATCCAAAAACCCAATGCTACGGTTCTTCAAGCTCTCTCATTGCCGTTGGCAATACCTTTTTTTTCCACTTCGTGTGTTTAGTCTGGGTGTTAGTCCATGTCCGGCGTGTTCCTGCTG